GACTGTACTCAACACACACAGCTACTTTAGTGCATATTCAGTAAAGAACCCAGTGGTATGTGAACGGTGTACAGTAAATCTCTTCAGCTGTGTCCTTTATTTTGGCACAGCTCTGATGAGTGCCTTCAAATAGGACATGGCCTTTAGGTGCTCATAAATGAAGCAAGGTGTCTCTTGCCTATCAGAGCACGAGGACAGAAAAGAGTGGAAAGTCCCGCCCACACTCACTGCCGACCCAAATCTCTTCTGCACAGTCTCATCCCAGCTTAGTACATGTTGGCTAAAAATTAATCATAACACAACAAAGGCAGTTGATTACTATGCAGCTTTGTTATTGGTGTTTCAGAAACCAAAAACACAACAACTGTCTCCATCTTCCTTTCTGTGATTTTCTTTCACTATGTAATAATGAAATAGTTTTGGCTGAATGCATTAATGTGAACATGTTTCAACTTTCCCAGCACATGTTTCAACTTTCCCAGCACATGATGACTCTCCAAAATACAGTACTTAATAAATATTTAATTCTACTTTTGCTTTTCTCAACAGGTTTCGGATTGAGTCATATGATCTTTTAAGACTGTTCAATTACAGTTCATAGTACATGATCACTGGCAGCAAATTTCTTTTCAATATGTGACTTATAAAGTCAGACTACATCAGGGGCTGAATTATCTCTGTATTTATGTTTTTTATTTATTGTTTCACCTGAAGAGAAACAGTAGAACATGTTACACAATGCCATTTTTGCCCTTGAGAACAGTGCCAGTGTTTTGTTGTTTCACTATGGTGAGCAGCCAGAGCTGGTGGATAGTCTGTGTGCCACATAGCAGCTGCACCCTCACCTCACATTGCCACCTCTGCTATAACAGGGTAAGACAAGACACTGTATAAAAGCAGAACAGGATATAAAATGTGTTCCTTTGGAAAGTCTACAACAGTGTAACATCCTTTAGCATTAAATTAAAGGCAGGCAAAGTGCACTATGTTAAAAATTATTGAAACTGAGGCAGAAAGTTTTTTGTAGTGTATTTCCATAGAGTTTAGAAAATGCTTATTATAAAATCAACAGTTACTAGAAACTGGTATCAAGGTGATAGTGATCCTGACATGTCAGTTTTGTATCCCTCTAGTTTCCATCCATCCATTATCTATACTGCTTATCCTGAATAGGGTCATGGGGGGGCTGGAGCCAATCTCAGCTGATACTGGGTGAGAGGTGGGGTCCACCCTGGACAGATCGCCAGTCTATCACAGGGCTGACACTTACAAACAGAAAACTACACACACCCACACTCACTCCTACAGGCAATTTAGAGTCAGCAATCAACCTAAGTGGCATGTTTTGGACTGTGGGAGGAAGCCGGAGTACCTGGTGAGAACCCACGCAGGCACAAGGAGAGCATGCAAACTCCACACAAAAAGGCCCCGCGTCAGCCAGGGCTCAAACCCAGAACCTTCTTGCCGTGAGGCAAAGGCGCTAACCACCGTTCCTGGAAGCAAGTCACTAGATGATAATATTATACAGCATGTACAATATTTATTGATAGCACTGAATATGATTGTATTATTTTTGTATTTAAGAATATGAAAATGACAGTGACTTGTCATCAATGCTTGGTGTACAGCAGCACATTATTCCCATACTTCAGTTGTCACAAAAAAACTAAATGAGTCAAGGGAGAAAGATTACGTTGTTTAGCAACAGGGCAGACCCAAGAGATAAAGGTTAGTGTTAAGAGCTGAGTCTGGGAGAAAGTCTGTTTCCCCGTAGCTAACTTAATCTACACCTAACCGGTCGTGACCCCAACCTTACCTTTGGCTACTCCGGAGTCTTGGAATCCAACATTTACCATCAAATATATCAATCGTATGCTGCCGTTTGGTGGCGCTACATAGCAAAACATGCACAAACTACTACATTTCTCAGAGTAGAAGAAGCTTTCCTCACGACTTTCACGTTTAGCTGCAGTGGCTGTTCTGACCTTCTCACTGCAGTGTGTCAAACTGAAAAGTAAGAGAAGAGTTTACACTTATTTAGTTGGGTGACTTTGATTTAAAGAAAAAATATTTATTGTGTTACAACACCAGTTTACAGTGAAACTGTCATCTCTGTTGTGCGCGCTACTTTTCATGGTGTATTTCGCTAGCTAGCTTCCCGTTGAGGCTAGTAAGCGTTCCTTCTACTACAGAGAAGATGCTAATAGATATAGCCATTGATTGATTAGCTTGACAAGTTAAATGAGCGCATTATAAATATCAGCTGCATGTTAGTTTGTAAGTCTTCGTTTTCGTGCTTTGTGCATTAAATAGGAGGCTACTGCATAGTTTTAACGCTACTGCTGATTTAATACTGTAGATTGGATGTTGTAATGTTAGCAGTAGCATTAGCCAGTAACATTGTTATCATTTATGATATTAGTAAAGGTTAGTTATTAGACACATCAATTTTAAAAACAATGTGTTTCCTTCTACTAACAGTCAGTCACGATCGTAAAATTAAAATAGTGCCATTTTACCCCTTCGTTTGATCACTGAGTGGCCAAATATCATTAGCTTACGTTCGGTCTGACAATGAAGGCTACCTATTTTCAGAACAGCAACTTTACATTCAGTGTGACTATCTGAATGATTTACCTGGTTTCTGAAGTTTGGCTTTAGTCGAAATGTGTGTAGCCTATTATAAAAATACATTATGCTGAAATTATGAACTCTTATAAGCATTTAAATACCTAATGTTAGTTCTGTCAAGTAAGCTTGGAATCGACACATCAGAAAAGTGGCAGAATTTTGAATGAAGTTTGGTGTTGTCTCTATTTGTTTAGAGAATCCATGACGCTAGGTCTTCAGATGTTCCAGACATGCCTATAATGAAACAAACTGCTATCTAAGGGCGTTGTATTGACTGTGCACATAAGGGCTGTTTTGATACTATGCTATTGCTTTTCTCCCTTAGATGACTGGGCGCATGTTTGCAAATTGGTGGTCCAAGATGGGCCCGTACTACACCAAGGCATACCAAGAGGTGTGGGTGGGTCTTGGCATCATGACATACCTGTACTATAAACTCTCCTATGGAGGTGAGTTGAAGACTCAAACGTGATTGAGTTGAAAATGCAGCTGCACTCTATAATACAAACGGAATGCGGAGTAATGTAGTTGGTTTTCTAGCAGCTTCCAAATTTGATATCACTGTCTTGATCCTTTATTGTAGTTGTTTGAACAGACTATTATAAATCAGACAACCTTTGCAGTTCTTTGTATTTGATTACCTTGTAAAATCCATCAGTAAATCAGGTACAAAACTACAACTGTGTCTATACAAAATATTGTCAATAAGGTCTGGAAACAGGTGTGAAATAATAAATCTGGCTTTCAAAGCACTAAATAAATGCTATGATCCTGCATCATTAAACACTTGGTTAACTGCCTGAGCATAGGCTCTATAATGCAAAGTGTCTCAGTGGTATGAGTTAGTGTGACTAATATAATATCTCTTTTTTTAATTTTAGGCAAGAAGAAGGCTGTGAAAGACAGTAAGTAGCCTAACATCTTTGTTCATACTCTATATTTAGGGTTGGGCAGTATGATAATATATATACTGTGAGGCAGTTTAAATTTGTCTACCATTAGATTTTACCATAATAATAATAATGTTGAGGTGGTAGCCATTCTAATGATCTATGGTGTATTGGCCAATGAGCAGGACTCATTTGTGGCAGAATTGCATTTTAATGAGGTTTTTAAGAATCTTTTATGCTGTGCATGTGTTTTCCTCTAGATGTCACTGACAGATGGCCAACCTATTATTCACAGTGCGATTTGTTTTATTTGTGCATGGAGTTCACTTTATTTGTGCATGGAGTTCACTACAGTCTGCCCATGGTTGGTTGAACAGGGTCAGTTTTGCCACTTTGTTATTAAACAGGTGTTTTTCTTTCTGCTTTTTTGCAGAGCCTGCCCATTGAGTTCTCCATAAGGCTGACAACCCCTCCACCTGCTGTGAAATAATGCCCCAGTCACTAGTCCAGACATCCAGCTTTATATTTGCGTTTTTGTTAATACGAAACAAATAAAGTTGTTATCCAAAGCTTTGCTCATTTTCTTGACTATGGGCTCTCCTGACCAGCAGTGTGAGGAGACAGCAGCATCTCCCCAGAAAATTAATGTATTATTCAACACAGTCTTTGCAGGCATGCTTACTGGTGTACAATGAAAACTTAACACCACACCTTTTAAGACCTATCATCAACAGTTTAAAGAACTTTCCAAATAGTACCTTTGAAGTTTAGGGGAGGAGTAAGCAATATTCAGTAACTATAAATCCGTTATTGGTTGTTCATGGTCCTGAGTAGTTCAGTATCTGCCCTATCCTGTTGTGAGTAAAACCTGAGAATGAGTGACCAATTAATGAACCAAATGAATCGGTTTGGGTTTACATTTTAACTAATTGGGTAGACAGGATAAACTACAGCACTGCCACATTTGGTGTTGAGTGGGTGCTGGTTCATTCTAGGAAGTCAGGCATCACTAATGTATCCAAATAGTTGTGATGGGGCAAGCCTCACCTTGATAAGTGATAATCTGCACACAAACCTCTTGTTCTGAATTGTGCTGTAATGTACAATATTAAACGTAATATCAGTTACAGTATATAAATCTTTTGAACAGCTCATTCAGGGTTATGGGACAAAAGACTGTAACATCACAATCTTTTGTTGACATAAATCAATAGCAAATGAATCCGTTTCTGTTTACAGTCTGGTTCACTGAACTGAGAGTGAGCTGACCAGACTGACCACCTGACCTGCCTGGGGTCAGTTTAGTGTTGGGTGAGGAGGTAGATTAACTGATTGCACTTCTGTAACATCTACCTACACATGCCACTGGTAGAACTACAGGTGTAAATGCTTTAAATACACCTGCATAATTGGTGTATAGAAGATGGTATTACCTGTCTTGTTTGAACAAAGGAACATTTTGATAATGTTTTGAAATCAATGTCAATTCTATATTTTGGACTTGCAGACATGTCTTGTTTCAACATCTTTGGGCAGAAACCCCATATCAGACTTAAATTTAAGTCATGCACTTGTATCTGTAGCATCTCTTGTGTTAAAGCTAAGCATAAAATCCACCCAAACCAGGTTTAATTTACTCCAAAACTTTAATATTTATTCATTTTCCAATCATACAACTTTGCCTCTTCATGATGTCATGTAGGTCTAGACTTTTATAAAGTTGCCCTCTTGGGGCTCAGTTGCATTTTGTTGTGTAGAAAATGTTGTGGTCTATAAATTAGGTTTCCTACATTCAATTTTAGTTAGGCTAAGTAAATTAGCAAATTTCTGTAAGTCATACAGTCACTAAACCCAAACACTTGTGCAAAATGTGATAACTTATTTCATTAATAGGCCTATGTGCAAAAACATATGATTTGCTTTCACTGTTTTTATGTCATTATTAGATGATTATTAGGCTACATTATCAGATTTTATTCAATCTGTGGTTATATGAGTTTCTAAGGGCCTCTTCACATCTATGCTTGATACTTGATCTCCATGATAATAATAAAAACTACAAAATCTAAGTTTTTCTTTGCTATTTAGTTCACGTGTGTGTGGGTGGTGTTGGACAAACGCTGACTGACAGAGAGGGAGAGAGGGCTCGCGCTCCCTCCCACCGCTCGTGCGCACCGACTGTGACTGCGTTCCCTCTTTGCTACATTCAAACATGGCGAAACTCTTTGCTATAATAGCACCACCATCATACTCTCCCTCCTGCGCTTCATCGCCACCATTATCTCCGGTACCGTGATGACCCGGAAGGATGGAGAAGTTGTCGGCGAGCCTGTCGGAGATCACTTGAAGCCCGTTGGCGCTGCCGTTAGACGCAGTGGTCAGCAAGTTCCGTCTGCCCACTCTGGTCCGTCTGGCCCACGGTAAGAGACAACCGTCACCCGGTGTTTCGACCGCCAGTACACCCGTTAAGAACTTTTAGAGTTGGCGTATTCTTTTGACAACTGTAAACCAACTCTAAAGCTCATCTGATGCTTCATAGCACCAGAGATTAAAAAACCCCGTGATAACTATAAGAACTAACGATAAATGTGGATTTCCACTTGGGAAAAAGAACGAATCCCATTATCCAGGAAGAACTGTGTCTGTAAAAGTGGGGTTTGAGAGTATAACGACGCTGGAATGTAAGAACAAGCGTTGCAATTTACCGAAGAATCCCTGGAGCATTTTAGCGTCAAGTTTGGAATACTTACCGCTTCCGGTAAAACTTTCAGAATAAGTCATTTAACGTGACGGTTTTTAACACGAGAAAAACTTTTTGGAGATGAATTCACTTTTAAATAATAAAATAAATAGCCTCGCATGATCTTTGCAAAACAGTGTCTGTTAGCAAAACGGAAATGACTACATAACGTACAACATTTTTAATGAGGATTAGAGCTAAAACAATTAGTTGAATAACTAATAAAGTAGTTTTCCAGACAAAACCATTTCCTAGTTTCAGCTTATTAAATGAGGTTTTGTTGATATTTCTCTGTATATAAACAGAACATTTAATAGTTTTAGGCTGTTTACCAGACAAAATGACATTTAAAGAAGTCAGTTTTGGTTTTTCAAAATTGTAACAGGCATTTTTCACTATTTTCTGACATTTCATAAACCAAAAGATAAACTCAATAGCTCTATAAATAATCAGCAAAATAAAAGATTACATTGTACTTTTTTTGGGAAAAGCTGTGCAATATATCTACAAGTTTTATTATTTATTGACCGGCTCAGCTCTCGTTATATTTGGCGCTATTATTTTGAAACCAACTTCGCCTTATTTCCGTTATTATTTCGTTTTATTCAGGCAACCTTGATACAGCTCCAGAATTTATTCTCGCACACAGACTTTCCTAGTTTACGTCAACTCACTTACTTGCGTAAGGGAGTTATCGTGTAATATTTGCATTCACATTTCTATTTATCTGTTTTATGTTTTGCTGCCAACGTGATGCTATACCGAACCAGATTTGCTGTCTTTGCTTTGGGAAAGGGTGATGGGTGTCATAGCCAAAATTGTTCCAGTCCAGCGAGGGCCGGAAAGCCACAAAGTGTCTGTTGTGCTGCTGAAGTGCTGCTCAATTCTTTTCATATGTAAATGCTGTAATCTGTCGGTGAATGTGGTGAATACTAACGAGGAAGAAACCTCAAACTTTGCTTGATGGACAAAAGCGTGCACCCAACGCCGTGTCATGGTGCACGAAAATTACGCACCTTACTTCTGGCTACGCGCGTGTGGATTGTATAGAGACAGCACCCGTGGGTGTTTATTAACTGCACTGTAGTTATTCCACAGATGCCAGCTTGTTTGCCCAGCCACCCAACCCAGATGGTGATTAGTTATTTACAGCAGGCCAGGATGTCAGCATTTCGTGCGAGCTTTTCTCCCCTTCATCTTAACAACAACAAACAACAAAACTGCTATCTGTATGGAGAGACTGTGGTGGTGTGTGTGTGCCTCTGTGTGGGTGGAATACAGCGTGATAAGGGATTTCCTGATACAATGTGTGTCCTCAAGACTGCATGCTATCAACTAACAAACAGTCACACTTTGGCTATACAGAAAATGCACAAGAAGTGGCTGTTTGCACACACCACAAAAAGCTGAATTTCCTCACTTACTGCTATTAGTTTTGGTTAAATCTAGCACCAGTGAAGATAAACCAACACATACAAAGTTATCTCGATTGCTAACAACCAAGCTAATATCTAAGCTTTAAAAATGGCAATAGGCCAAACACCCAAAAGAGAGTAGAATCCCTCGTTGTTTGTCCTGTGTTTGTATTCAGCCATTCATCATCATGATCGTTTGACTAAAAGGCCCAGGAGTAACAGCTATCCATGAGTAACAAGAGCAACAAATAATGTGCATCTGTGTGTAAGAGAGAAAGTGTGTGGTGTGCTGTGTGTTTCAACTGTACCACTCTGCTATCAGCAGAAATCGATGCTGCCGTGCTGGGTCTAGTGAAAGTTGGAGAGACGTGTGTTTTTGTGTGTGTGTGTGTATGGGGGCTGTGTAATTGTAGGCTGCCAGTTGCATAGCAGGGCCCTGATGAGTAGGTTGGGGTGGTGACCTGTCACTGATGGCGGTAATTATGGACATTGAATCCTGAATGCCTGTGTGTTTGTGTGAGTGTGGGGTGGGGGGTGGGGAGAGGGATGAAATAATGTTTTCCATTGCTGAGCCCTTTAGTGTGATCTCAGAAAGGAAAACCTGTCTCTAATCCATTTTTGTGTGTTGATTTGTGTGTGTGTTCCAGGTGAATGTGTGGAGGGTCTATCAGAGGAGGATGTGGTCCTGTTACACTCCTGTCGTCAGTGGACAACAGTGACGGCCCACAGTTTAGAGGAGGGACACTACGTCATTGGACCCAAGATAGACATCCCTCTGCAGTACCAGGGTGTGTGCACATACACACACGCACACACTAACACACACTCACACTGGTTTTCTACCCCGACATGGACAAAACGTAATAGTGAGTCAATCTTTTGTTTGTCCACCTAAAATGTCCGAGTGTTAAAAATAAATAATTCAAATACTAATTAGGTACTCTGAGCTTTTTTCCCATTACCTTTTGTGCAGTTGAATGCACAAAAACCACTTCATATGTTAAAATCCTCACAAGCTCACAAGCCATTAGTTTCAGAGAAGTGCCACAGAATATACATGCATGATTGGACAGAGCCAAGCTAGCTGGTTCCCCCTATTTTTAGCCTTTATACTAGGCTAAAAGAAATGTTGAACTATTTCTTGAAAGCTTCAGGGGAAGCAAAGGGGAATGTTGTGTAAATAAACTTAAATGTAATCTAATGGATAGTACATTGGTGCAAACTGGATGAAGAAAACTGGAACTTGAATGAAATAGTCATTACAGCACATGGTTACATGTAAAGATGTTGAAATATTGTCAGATTAATTCAGTCCCTAACATTAATGCCTGGCGTACAGATACATCCCTGTGCATACACCCATACGCACACTCTCATTCTAGTCCACACTCACACAACCACACGTAATCTTCCCTGACTCCTCCTCTGACCACTGATTTGTCATCTTCTGGCTGAATGAGTCTAGTCAGTATGACCTCACCGGCGCTCATCCTCGCCATCCCATTGTTCTGACTCTCCGTCCAGTCACACTATTCGCTGTGTAACTGGATCTTAATGCCTCCTCTCCGCTGCTTCCTTCATTGATGGAGCGCTGATGTCACCTCACACTGCTGCCGCCTCTCAGGCTCCTTTTCGGGAGGATGAAAAAACATGGGTGAAATGGGGGTTTGTTGAGGTCATTGTCAATTTAAAGATTTAAGCATTTCACATCGGAAGCAAGTGACCGCTAATACTGCAGATATTAGTGGTTAGAAGTAAGACGTAAACAACTCCAAGAATCAAGTCCAAGGATAGGCCTTTTTCACAGCAGACATGTTGAGCTGTAATACCAGAAAAAGCACAGGTGTAGCTAACAACATTAATGATGGCTGAGTTCCAGTAAGTGCATAGCAGGGTCCCAGTTAACAAAACCACAAACCAAGCATGCACAATATAGCTCACATAAATGGAATGCAGCCATAAGCCCTTTTCAGACACACGCTGGAACCCTGAAATTCAGTAGACATTACCCTTGGCAGCTGTATAAGAGAACATAAATGTTCGAGTCAGTTGACCCAGACCTTAAGTGAACTTTACTCCTTCAACTCCCTACTACAAAGTCTGCGCAAGGTTCAAATGAGCTGCAGTGAGCCCATGTGAGAACATAGCAGCATATAGTCTGAAGTACTCACATGGAGCTAGTGGGAGTGTTGATGACATTCTATCATTTGACCAGTGTAAAACCAGAAGAATATAAACATCAGATGATGAAGAAAAACAATCATTTACAATGAAGACGCCAATAAAAATTTCAAACTGGAAATACGACCGGATTCAGGAACTTCTATCGTTAAGAGCCGGCACCAGAATTGCCGAACAAGGCAAGAGACTTGTTGTTTACGGCCAAATTACAAACTGGCTACATGTCGGTGTCATGTCCCACCCCCTGCTCATTCAGCCCAGGCTCACTCCTGCGCATAAATCAAGCGGAGAATTTCCAGTAGGTGCGAACATGTCTGACATGGACTACCTCCTGGTGTGTGCTACATGTGTGAAAGGGCATAGTCTTCAGACATAGTCTGGAGTTCATGTATAAAAACAGCTGGATATTATGACAGTGAGTGTCATCAGTTACACCTGTGTCAAAATGTCTGCTGTGAAAAGATCCTGGAACAAGAAATAAAAGAGACAAGATGATAGGAAACGTGCAGTCATCTTGGGCGATAATTTATAGAACACATTTACTTTACCTGGTAGACTTCTTAATTTCAGTCAAACTTAGTCTCCTCCAATTTAAGAGATGCCAAACAGCTGCTCCATGATTCATTTGGGTTTATAGGTTTATTTTCTTTCTTCCAACATATGGTTTCCTTGCTGTTCCTTTTTTTTTTCAATATTTTTTCAAGTTTTTGAAAAAGCCTGGCTTTATGTCTTTAACAATTAGTGATACTCATGGCAGGGACATTTTAGGAGGAAGTGACTGGGTATACGGAACCAAAATGGTTCCACTGATGAAAAAGCAGTTTCACTGTAAGAGTCCAACAGCCTTATAAAGACTGGACGTAAACAACTCTACAGGGAAAGTTGCTGGACCCTGTAGCGTTATTTAAACCCATATTAATGATGGATTTTTATAGATGAGAAAAAGCCAGCGCCACCATTTTAAATGTATGCATACTTTAGGTCTTCTGTGTCTCTTTAACTATAACAGGTGAGCTGTTGTTGAATCAGAGCCCAGTGATGAGCTAATGTCAGTGTGATGACTTCATACAGGAAATCTAAATAAGCTCAGGAGCAAAGCAATATAGGTTCTCCCTGGGGATGGACAACAGGATGCTCCCTCCTCCTCCCTCTCTCTTTCTGCCTGTATCCTCCTCAGTCAATCAGGGAGAGGCAAAGATGACTCAAGTGTAGAGGACAGAAAAGCTGAATGATCCCTTGTCATGAATGAGTTTCAGGAAAGCAAGTGGCTCTGTGTAATGTGAAGAACTGGTTTTTATTGTTATTATTGGAGTAACATTTTCTCACAGAGTAACAGTAGTGTTTTAATATGTTCTCACATCCCAGTAACATTTGGAGCTTCTAGTCAAGTAGCCAATCCTCTAACTTATAAGAGTTTTTTGGATGGAGCTGGAGTTTTGTTTGTTAGAGCAGTAAATCCAGTTTCAGTTCAACCCCTGCCTCAGCTTGTCACTTTTTTAGGGAAGGGGGTTGTGCTGAGAAGTAGCACTTGCTGGGGTTGTTCAGTGGGTAGAAGCTCCTTATCCTGGGGGCTCTGTTTGAATTGGAAGGTGGGTGGTATAGGAGAATGAGGGAGAGAGGAGAGGGGAGGCGCTGGCAACGAGGATGGTGGAGTTTGGTATTCTGCACGGCCTCCCAGACAAAAAAAACTTTCTCGTGTCTATTTCCCTCACTCTCATGTCTATTTCCTTCACACACTCACACAAACACTTTGACTCTGTGAGAAAAAGAAGGATCCTCTGAGAGTTATCACAGTTCAGCACAAACCGATAAACTGGTAAACAAGAGTAAAGGGTACTGTGAGTACTAGTAAAAAAGTTCTTACATCAAGGGTGATTTAGAGCCTACTGTGCTTTCCTCTGCAGCATCGCAAAGTGTCATGCACCAAAACAATTTACAGTTTAAAGAATACAAACACAGTTACCGGACGCACATTAGAAAGATTTACAGACAGAGAGGGGGATGAGCAAGGGAAAGAAAGGGTGAAAGGGAGAGAGAGTTGTGTGTGTGTGTGTGTGTGTGTGTGAGTGTATGTGTGAGTGTCGCCATGGTGATGTGTCTCTGCTCTGCGTGAGAATGGGGATCCTTTATGGGTTGCCATGCCAACCCCGTCGGCTGTTCGTTGGCCGAGAGCTGGTGCCAGGTCACAGGTCACGGAGGTGTCTTTGTATTCGTTGCGTCCAAACAGGGTGCGGTGTGTGTATTTGAAGCAATTCTGCAGAGTCCACAAAAACAGAAAAAATCAAAACAACTTTACACCTCTTCATTATGTTTCTCCTATTCCAACCTGCACTTCACTCTTCCCCTACCACCTCTTTTACTGTCCTCCCTCCTTCCTTCATCTTCATCCTCCTCTTTCCTCTGGGCTCCCTCCACTTGGTTCTTCTTTTTCCTTTCCTTCACTTCCTTCACCAGCTACTTCTCCCTCCCCTCTCATCCCTTCTCCTGAGCCCCCCTCATCCTTGTCCTCTTTTCATGCTTTTTGCAGGCAAGTTCAAGTTGCTGGATGAAGACCGGGACATCAGGGATCCAGTCCAGTATTTCTCCAGTGTGGAGGAAGTTGCTGGAGTCTTCCCTGACCGGGTCTTTGTCATGGAGATGATCACCTTTAGTGTCAAGGTTAGCATTTTATCACATCTTCATATAGTATAAAGCATTTTCAGCTCTGCTTGACTTTATTGAACCTTTTTGAGGGTGGTAACATTGTATCTTGGTCTGCCCAGTTTACACCATAGTTTCATAGTAACATGACTTAGGCTGCATACAGCCTTAGAGCAATGCTTTCTCACAACTACTGTATATATCCATGCATGTGGGTGCTGCAGGTGGTTTCAGGGGAGTTCAGTGAAGACAGTGAGCCTTACAGCTTCACTCTGCAGGCTGGAGATGAACTGTCCCTCATGGGGAAGGCAGAGCTTCTCTGTGCTACACCCTCAAAGGAAAAAACAGGACTTAGTGCGCTTCTGAGACGCTTGGGAAAGACTCCTAGAAGTAAGTAAGGCAGAATTCAGTGTGTTGAGTTCTATGTTTTACGGAGTCCTGTTTAAATGCCTACACATGGGAATGAGGAAAAGGGAATCAGAATGGGATGAGAAATACTTAATGTTGATGTTTGAATTTTACATTGTAACTGGTGGATTCAAAGACTGTTAGTAGCTCTGACATGTACAGTGGGGAAAATAAGTATTTGATACACTGCCGATTTTTCAAGTTTTCCCACTCACAGAGAATGGACAGTTCTGTAATTTCATCGTAGGTACACCTCAACTGTGAGAGACAGAATCTACAAAGAAATTCCAGTAAATCACATTGTT